ATCTTGCTAGGCACTGGTGGCTCATACCTATAATCCTAACTAATCAGAAGGCTGGAATCCAAGGATAGAAGTCTGAAGCCTTTATTTTAGCCAGTCCTGGGGTCTGAACTCAGAGTCTAGGCTCTGACCCTGAGCCTCTCGGTGCTGAAGGCTAGTAGCACCCTTCCACTTGAGCCACAGCACCACTTCCAGCTTTTTCTGTTTATGTCGAACCCAAGGCTTCATGCATGCTAAGCAAGCACTCTACCACTAAGCCATAGTCCCAGCCCTGAAGCCATTTTTGAAGCCAGCCTAGCAGGGAAGTCCCTGAGACTTATCTCCAATTAGCTACCAAAAAAGCTGGAAGTGGAGCTCAACTCAAGAGCTAGCACTGAGCAAAAAAGCTCAAGCAAAGTGTCCAAGCCCAGGGTTTAAGCCCCAGGACCGGCAGAAAAAAAAAATCCTACCACTCAATTGCATACATAAATATAAAGGTCCTGCTCCCATTATTTCCAATCTACACGAACAAGTTATCCGTTACCCATAACCTTATAAACTGAACCCCACACATCCATAAGCCATACCACTCTGTATGCTTACCAAATTCTTAATCTCCTCAAAGATGTCTTTCTTTTATGCAGAAAGAAACTTAGCTCACTGTCCATGAACTGATGAGAAGGGGTTATGTTAGGTCCATGATCACTACTGGCACCTTATCCCTATTCTTTTTAGATTGTCACCGTGTATTAATCATTAGAAGTAAGCCAGGTGCCCATGGCTCATTCCTGTAATCCTAACTATGGCACTGGTGGCTCACAAACCTGTAGTCCTAGCTACTCAGGACAACAAGGTCTGAGGACTGAGGTTCAAAGGTTCAAAGCTAGCCTGAGTAGGAAAGTCCCTGAGAATCATTTTTTGGGGGGTGGGGGGGCCTTGACCTGGGCACTGCACTGTCCCTCATCTCTTCTGCTCAAGGCTAGTGCTTTACCACTTGAGCCACAGCACCACTTCCAATTTTCTACTGGTTAATTGGAGATAGTCTCACAGACTTTCCTTGCCCAGGCTGGCTTTGAACCACGATCCTCAGATCTCAGCCTCCTGAGTAGCAAGGATTACAGGCATGAGCCACTGGTGCCCAGCTCCCTGAGAATCTTTTTTTTTTTTTTGGTCCAGTTGTGGGGCCTGAACTCTGGGCCTGGGCACCGTCCCTCAGCTCTTCACCTCAAGGCTAGTGCTCTATCACTTGAGCCACAGCGCCACTTCCGGCTTTTTTCTTTTTGCTTATGTGGTGCTGAGGAATTGAACCCAGGGCCTCAGGCATGCAAGGCAAGCTCTCTACCACTGAGCCACCTTCCCTGCCCTCCCTGAGAATCTTATTGCCAATAAACCACCAAAGGAAAAACAGTTAGAAATGGAGCTATGGGGCTCAAGTCAGAGTGCCAGTCTTGAGCAAAAAAGTTAAGGGACAGCACATGGACCCTGAGTTCAAGCCCCAGTACCAGCACAAATAGGAATATTTCATATGCATGTGTGAAAATAGAAAAATGAAGCTTATTGAGACTGGTTTGGGAATAGGGGGAGCTCAGGGACGAGGAAGAATGACAAGAAGGCATGGCTCAGTGGCTCACGCCTGTTATCCGAGCTACTCAGGAGGCTGAGATCTGAGACTCATAGTTCAAAACCAGCCTGGGCAGAAAAGTACTTGAGCCTCCAATCTCCAAAATCAACCACCAAAAAAGCCAGAAGTGGAGCTGTGGCTCAAGTGGCACAAAAGCTCAGGAACAATACACAGGCCCTAAGTTCAAGCCCCAGGGCTACACAAAAAAGAAATTTCCCGTTAAAACCAATTGGTGCCAATAAAAATGTAAAAGAGTAAGACAGAAAAACAGGAAATTTAGTTTATAAACATATAAAAGTTTCAGAACTTATTTTTGGTTAGTCTCAAACATTTTCCTGCAATACTTTCGTTAGCCATAAACTATGTTTTTAATCACATACTCAGTCCTCTAACCATATGCAATTGTATCCTATCCCATACTTTTCTAATTAACAATAACCCCACCCACCCCCTAGTTTATCTCAAATCAGTGCCACATTTTAAGGATCTACCTTTACATTCCTATTATGCACCTAAATCACACCTTTTTTTTTTTTTTGGTAATTAATTGAAGAGTCACAGACTTTCCTAGCCAGGCTGGCTTTGAACTGTGATTCTCAGATCTCAATCTTCTGAGTAGCTAGGATTACAGGAGTGAATCACCAATGCCTAACTCCAAAACCCTTCTCTTCAATAATCTACCACTAAAGTAAGTATTTTCTTCTTTTCCATATACAAGTATATAAATGCACAATTATTTTTTACAAATTCTGACATGCATCATTGTTCTCAAACTTGGCCTCCAGACACAAAAGACACCCATAAAATTCTTTCTAGCTGGGCATCGGTGGCTCACGCCTGTAATCCCAGCTACTCCAGAGGCTGAGATTTGAGGATCGCAGTTCAAAGCCAGCCAGGGCAAGAAAGTACGTGAGACTCTATCTCCAATTAGCCACTAAAAACTTGGAGGTGGTACTATGGCTCAAGTGGTACAGTGCTTGCCTTGAGCTGAAGAGCTGAAGAACAGCACCCAGGCCCAGAGTTCAAGACCACAACAAAAAATAAATAAATAGAAATTTAAAAATAAAAAAAATTCCTCTTTCTAGCCAATTCACTTGAATACTTTTGTTAATATGACTTCCTATATAAATCCTAGTAGACATTCTGAATTTTTTTAAAAATTGAAAATACTAGGAATAAGATATAAACAAAAGCCCTGCACTAGGGGCTCACACCTGTAATCCAAGCTACTCAAGAGGCTGAGATCTGAGGATCACAGTTCAAAGCCAAACCAGACAGGACAGTCCATGAAACTCTTAAATCCAATTAACCAACAGAAACCCAGAAGTGGCACTGTGGCTAAAAGTGGTAGAGTGGTAGAGCGTTAGCTTGAGCCTGAGGGATAAATAGCACACAGGCTCAGAGTTCAGGTCTCACAACCAACAACAGGAACATAAACATATGGCACAAAGTATAGATGCGTATGAAAATTATAGAATCAAATTAAAGATATATATGGAAGGGAGAGGGTTAGAGGAATGCAATTAGTGAGACTGAGGGGAGGATTCAACTCTGTAATACTTGTTTCTTATGCTGGGATACACTGTTGTTGATAGTAATTATTCTTTATTCATCTTCATTCAGATCTGTAATATCTTAAGTGAACTTTAAAAAGAGAGAGTGAGAGAGACCAACAGGGTGCAGGTGTCTCACTCCTGTAATCATAGCAGCTCAGGAGGCTGACATCTTAGGATCACCATTTAAAACCAGCCAGGGCAGGAAAGGCCATGAGACTCATCTCCAGTTAACTACCAGAAAATTGGAAGTGGTGCTGTGGCTCAAAGTGGTAGAGTTCTAGCCTTGAGCAAAAAAAAACTCAGAGCCAGCGCCCGGTCCCTGAATTCAAGCCCCATGACCGACAATAAAATAAAATGAAATAATAGAGACTTCATTACTAATGAGCACCTCCCTTCCACATATATGACAAGCTAAGATCAAGTTGCAGGAACTGACATCCTTCCTGTCATTTACAAGAAAAGATCCCAAGCCCACTATCCAAAATCTTCTGGTAGACATCACTTAGAGATGTATTCCAGGGGTATATTCGGGAGTAACCTAACATATGCCACTTATTTTGCAAGTCTCACATTCACAAAAATTACCACCTCTAATTTTATCTTTGTATACCTAAATTGCCATTTACTCTAATAAAGACATTATTACTCACACAGTAAACGTCTCCTCATATGTCTGTTAAAATACCAGCAAATTGGTAGACCACATAACTACTTCCATTTGGCTAACTGCAGTGGTATGATTTTATCTTTGTGTATGAGTTGAATTCACTCATATACTAACTTTGCAATCTTAACCTATAACCATCTAAATTAAGCCACTCATCATTTAACCACAAATGAAATGTCATCTCAGCCAAACCGAACAGAACTTAGCCAGGGCAATTACCACACGCACCCAAGCGGTCCACTGAGCGAGCCTTCACCTCGTGCACGCTGAAAGTCCTACCCCGGGCCCGACGTGTACACCACCTCAAAGTCCTTCCCTCCAATGGGGAGACGCAGCCGTACCTCCAAACCACAATCTGGCTCGCTCAAGTGAAAACAAGTTGATGGGGCCTGAAGTTTCACTCAATTCCAAACCGTAGGATCCAGATTTATCCCGGCGCCGGGGGAGTGGGGTAAGGAGCGGTAAGAGGGAAGCTCCGTGCTCGGAAACAGGGTCTCGCCTTTCTCGCCCAGGGCCACAGTCCTCCAGTCTTCGGCTTCACCGAACAGGCAGCTGGCCCGCCTACCTCCTTCCCTGCCCCCATCGCCGGCCCACCCCACCCCCACCGCCACCGGCCCCCCCACACCCCACCCCGGACACGAAGCCCGCCTGGGGGTCCGCGCACCTGCGGGACCCAGATCTTCCTTCTACCGGGGAAGTCGGTTCCGAGGCTCCCCGCCCCTCGCCTCCAGCCACCCACCTCGCCCACGAGATCAACCCTTCCAGCCTTTCTCTCCGGTCCGGCGAGGCGCGGGCCCCAGCGCTTCTCAGCGCCCCGGGCGGGAACCCAGCCTAGCCCAGCGCCGAGCCCCGAGGCCTCCCCGCCGCTCCCCGAGCACCCCGCCGGACCCGACGCCCTAGGCCCGAAAGGCAACTCCCACCGCTCCCCGACCGGCCGGTCTCTCCCTCCAGCGGCGGTCGCCGAGTCCCCAAGTCCTCCTCGGCCAGGTCCCAGGCCTCCGGCCCGGCCAGGCCCGAGCCCCCGGCCCCGCGCGGCCCAACCCGGCCCTCCCGCTACCCGCTTCCCGCTTCCCTCCGGGGCCGAGCCTCGGAGGCTGGGCGGCTTCCACCGCCCGCATCCCGCCGGCCCGGCTCCGCCCGCGGCCGGCCGGCTCCCGCCCGGCTCCCCGCACTCACTCACCGCTGAGCGCCGAGGCCTGTAGGGTGGCCCCGGAGGTGCCGTCGATGACTTTGATGGTCCCGCGGCTGGTGACGGCCAGGATGGCGTTGAGCGCCGGGTGGTAGGAGAGGCTGTGCAGCCCCTCGGCGTCGCAGCGCATGCAGCCGTCCCTCAGCACCAGCCACTCGGACACCCCGGACGCCCCCGCTGCCGCCGCC